TTTTTTTTTTCAGCTGCCGTGGCCGAGAAAAACAAGAAACGTGGCCGAGGCATCTCGGCCGTGGGCAAGCCCAGATGCATCGGCCATGCCCGAAAACAACAACAACAACAACAACAACAACAACAACAACAACAACAACAACAAAGCTGAGTGCCTCAGGCCAGAACGCTGAGTCCCTGAGTCCCTGAGGCCAGAGGCCTAGGGGTCCTTTGCCGTGAAACTTGGCAAAACGCCGTATTTTTGCTAGCAAACTATAGGAACGCCATAAAGCTGCAAAGAAACCTCTATTTTTGCAAAGGAAACTTCGAACGGACGACATTTTTGCTGCCAAACTTCGAAACAGCAATATTTTTGCTATTAACCCAAAAAATAATTGAATGGGAATCTGACCGGGAAATTGGCGTAGGAGGGATGCAGTCCTATGCGCTAAGGGTAGTAAGGGAGTATAATGTGGATGCCATTGGGGAAAATGCCGGAGGAGGTAGGGTAGGAGAAGAGGAGGGGAGGAAATAAATGAAGAAGGATTGTACTAGTGGAGGGAAGGAACTAAAGGAAGGGATCGGTGGATCTGACGGGGAAGGTGGGATGCACTAGGGAGTATAGTGTGGGCCGGGCTAATGTTAAAGGAAATGCAGATAAAGGGAGATGGGGAGTAGGAGGGAGGAAGGGAGAGATGGAGCGGTAGAGGGGGGAAAGAAATGGTGAAGGGAAGGTGGTATGAACAGGGCGCACTGAGGAGTAGAGTGCAGAGCGGGATAATGGCAAAGGAAACGGAGATAAATAGATATGGGGAGTAGGTGGGAGTACGGGAGACATGGAGCGGTAGAGGTGGGGAAGAAATGACGAAGGGAAGGTGGGATGAACGGGCGCACAGAGGAGCATAGTGCACGGCGGGATAATGATGAAAGAAACAGAGAGAAAGGGAGGTGGGGAGTAGGTGAGAATAAGGGAGCGATGGAGCGGTAGAGGTGGGTAAGAAATGGTGAAGGAGAAGACAAAGAGGCGTGGTAGTGAGGGACTGTATTACTAGATAGTACGGGATAAAGGGAGATGAAAAGGAATAAGTGAACGGGGCCAATAAGAGTATTGGGAGCAGCGGAACACAAGGAAAGTAGGAAGGCGGGAACAACGGAAAAATGGAGCGGGGGGAAAGTGGAGGTGGAGACATTTTTTATGACAGTAGAGAGATGCCGAATCTGCGGCAGGAAAAGAGGCATATTTTAGGGAGAATTGTGAGCCCGTTTAAATCTTCAATCTCTCTCCCTCCCCCTTCCGACCTATGTCCTGTTAGTCCAATACACCCAACGCCGGGCCACGGGCCTTCTTTAAATTTTCTCTCTATCCACCGGCC